TATAAAAATAAAAACATCCAAATCTTTTATGAGCTCTCTCAAAACTTAAACGTAAACAAAGACGAAAAAAGAGCTTTTTTTCCATCCCTTACCATTTTTCTTGCGACAGTCAATGGAAAGTAGGGAAACAGATGCTGTGATCAGAAATTTATCAGCTTTTGCTTTTTTGCGACAGATTGATTTAAGAACCGAAGCCATGGCTGCTTCTTACAAAATCTCTAAGACGAGCTTCAAGGATTTCTGTTTCGTTTGTTATGATGTCATGTTACCATGATGATGTTCCATTCGAATCAAAATGGGCGTGCTCGAGTTTAATTTTGTAGTAAGTTATGTAATCGGGTCGGGTGTTCAAGGGCATAGGCAAGGGTTCTGAGAGCCCCCCCTCACTCCTGCCGATAGAGGTTTAGCTCGGAACGGTGGGTTGAATGCATTCTGGCCTCCCCTCCTAACTTCAAATTATTATTTCAACATTTCCGGGACATTACCCAAGATAGTTTTTTCCCTTTATTATAAGCAGAAATCTGTTTGTTAAAAAAACAATTTAAATCCTACATATTTCTTCTGTGCTGATATTGGCTTTCTCGATATTCTGACTTTCCTAATCTTTTATTAATCAAGCGAATCTGATAATATAGTCTCCAGCGCAACGCTGAAAAGCCTTGTTTCGTGCAGAGGTGTCGTCATTATATCTAACTGTACTGACAGCTACGTCTTCATCAAATTCTTCACGGCATTGGCGTCTGCAAAGCTGTTTCCTCTGCCTGAGATTATTATTGTGGCAATGGGAGAGCTGCTGCCTTGTGTTTCACTAACTACACATAGCTAATAAGAGGGCAAAGTTCGGTAAAAATTATCGTTTTAATTCCATGTTAAATTTGTGCCATACAAAAGCATTTGGTTTAAATGTATTCGTCTTGTCTCATTATCATTGTGACAAAATAATTCATAAAAAGAAAACGATATTGTAACAAACCGTGTGCTATTTTCTCGATGAAGTTTACGAAG